CATCAACTGAAATTATAGTTAACTTGGGATGTACGATTATTAGTGGCTTTATTTATTTCAAGGTAGATTTCATCATTCATGAAAACCAGTTGGAAAACCACAGAAAATCTGGGAACGCTTCATAGTGGCTTTATTTCAGTTTACAATTCGTCGGCAGTTCACACACCCACGCTACAAAATCAAGTCAGAAACCACCAATGACTGCATAACTAGTGTTTTTCATGATGAAATTTACTTAGACATATAATATATATCACATATCAAAAGCCTAGATAATCAATAACAGCATTACTATTTCTCAACAAACAGTGATTTACGATGACGTTATACTTTACTTCTTGTCCTTTTTTATTTGTTATTGTTAAAATGCCATTATGTAGCCTTTGTCATCAGTGAACACGTGAACATCACTGAACCTAGTATCGTCATCACAAGCAATAACAAAAACAATAAATCTATAAAACTGTAGACAGTCGTGGGTGACACATACTATTGCGTAATACAATATTTTTATAAACAAAACAAAGTGTAACCTTGAGAGTCGATTAATTAGGAGATAACATAGATTTTCTCTTCAGTCAGTTAGACAGTACTAAAGTACTTACTTATTATTATATGCTAGGTGGAGTTTTGATGAACTTTTATATTTAAGGAAAAATAAAATAAATTTTCCATTATCACAGGTTTAAGTAATCGGCAGAATTGTTAAAAAATAAAAATAAATAACAGGCACATATTTCCCTTCAATCCAAAGTCCTTTAAAATGGTGTCATTTCATGGGCACAATTGTGCCTTTATTCCATGAAGTTCTCAGATAGTGTCATCATTTGACACTCGACCTTATTCTGAATGTGAAAAGTAAATCCCAAATAGTCTATTCCTCGTAAACTACTTGTTGTTGCAATAGCACTTTATTCAATATTATCGGGATTCTTAGTAGGCGATCATAAATGACGGCAGTATACTGATTTAAAGCACGGACTACATTATACAGACTGCAGAACCTCACATTATTGACGCTGCGGTAGTCTACTAAACGTGAGACGTAAGCAGTCTTCGGTTTATACTATTCATATTTATAAGGGCGTATTACTAGGTAGTGGAAATTTACGCAGGTATATTTATTAACGCTTAACTTTCTGCGGTTGTTTAGCTAATCCAAGCGAATGACCCTCCCCCCCCCCCCAAAAAAAAAAAATAATTATACATGTGGAAAAGATATGAGTGTCAGATTCTATGAATGGGTCATCAGGAAATACTGCTTTACCTAACTTTCACGCTTGTTGATATTCATCAAAAGGACATATCTATAGCGACGAAGAGGCTAATATTCCCCTCTTCTAAGTGTTTTTTTGAGGTCTCATCATCCTGAATATTTACTCAACTGATTTCGATCAACAAATGAGGTAAGTCAGGTCAACACACAACAATGTTTATCATAGTGCATTGGATTTAAAACCTCTTCAGTGAGATTTTGAAGATGTTCTCGTAATAAGTGTCCATTTAATTTAAGGGGACCAAGAATAAACTCTCTTCAAATAATTGTTTAAATGATAAAGGTTTTATATAATTTCTTTATCTGGTATGTTTTGTGTTTTCTTCAAGAATAAATCCGCGCATTACACAGTTTGGTTAGTTAATAGCTTTTCTGATCGATCGATTGATCGATTTGTGTGTACTTTTAGTGACATATTAAATCGAATGGAGTGTAAAATAGGAATATCAGTGTTAAGCAAGAGAATGCTGAGGTATGAATTAGATAGCTGTGAAATTCACCAATTTTTTACCTTTGATTTCCTACTTTGCTGATAATCTTGTGATGGCATCTGACAAAGCCTGACTAGTTGTGTGGTTTCACACGTTAGCTATAAATTAGACGAACTAATATTCAACTGTTTTAAACTAAGATAACATTAGTTCAACAGAATAATTATAAAGTGACTTAATCACTGAAGACTGGAGGGGACTGAGGACAGTTGTTAGGATTTAGGACAAGCAACCCTTATTGCTGCTAAGTGAATTTGGTGACTAGACCGTAATTGTACTTTAACTGCTGGAATGTATGTATATCCATCACTTGGATAAGCCAGCGACATATAACTTTCAGTCCATTATTTCAATATTAATCGTGGGCTGCATGTAGTCAATTGTTTTTGAGGCGATTTCATTCACCTTTGCTACAAAAGACAGATACCAACTAACATACAACGTTTTTTGTCACAGTAAATTATTAAAAATTGAATTATGAAATTTAAAATCATCAATCATGTATCCATAGAATCCTCCAAATCTCAATGTAAATGCTATGCCTGTGAATATGTTAGTTGAAATGAAATCACCGAAACTGTTAAATGTCTTTAACAGTGACTTAAATAATTTTGTTTTGAAAATCTATTATTATTTTTAGATTTGAATAAGTATAAGTCGTAAAGATGATGTGAGCAGCTTCAACCGTAACACAGGAAAGAGTACACCTGACCAGCCAACTGAGATGTCACACTGACGCACACAAAGCACGGAAGCAAGACAAAAAGTCCATTATTATCACCCAAAAAAATACATATTTAGGCTTGAATATTCAAGCGTCAAGTTCAGACCATTTATATCTTTGGACAATTGGCCCACTGCACTCAAGTGTCTCATACTTACAACACAAGCGAAACATATACCATTATAACACAATTATAAGGCAAACATATTAGTTTTGCAAGTGTTGCAACTATTCCCGTCGAAAGAGAAGGAACTGTATCAGTGTGTGTAGACGGAATCGAATAAGGAAGCCTTTCACTTGCTGGAACTTCATACTCTGCAGCCATAGATGGGGTGTTATAGGTTGATGGAGTTGGCTAATGCGTTGGCTTCAAATAGTTATAACGCGCCATCAGTACATCATCATTCTGTCTTTTAATTGCCACTTAGCCGATCCTAGATTGATCAAGTCAAAATGCGATATATTCTTTGAAGTTCATTTTTGAAAAACACATTTTCAGTTTGATTTATTACAAAGTGATATCAAATAAAATATGGATAAAAAAGAGAAAGCTGAGTTTCTTCGCCTGACTTCAATCCATGATGTTACTTTAACTCAAGAATAATCAATTCTTTATAAAATCATTTACCTAGAATCAATTTTAAGTTGGTAAAGATAAAGAAAGAATTGCAATTTTCTTCATAATTTTCTAGTGACCTCTAAAATCGATGGTAGACACAATGAAATAATGGAAAACAAGAGATTTTTCGATTGATTTTCTCTTCTTTATATTTACTTATGTCCTTAAATAACCCTTAATTTTAGAATATAGTACGCATACACTTTGCGCATACATTATAAAGGTCATTTAACCGGTGAGATCATAAGACATCCTCATAAAGGTAGCTTTGGTGACCCAATAACAAATTAGTTCACCATATTATTTTAAATCAATAAAGTGTGACCTTTGTTTAGGTCATTCAATGATGGTATAAACTGTCTGTCTGGCATCACTTATAACTCTTGTATTCCCATAGTTATTGTGTTCGATTATAATATTTTGACACGATTACCTTGTTTTCGCATTCAGTTATCTTAACACATAAGCCCACAGTTTATATAGTGAGAAGCATCTAATAGGTCAACAGAATTTAAAGCCTAGTGTATCTGGGCTGTGTACTGTTTTCATCGTTAGAATAGCATGCAAGGTGTTTTTTAAAGCCTTCCATGACTAGACTTACTTACTTCATGGTTTATAGCGTTTCACATTTCAAAAATCCTGTTAGAACCTAACAAATGAAAATAAGGAAACACAAGGTTCCACAATCTTCAGCTTGAACTTCCATTCATGCTTTACACTTATTATGGAGGTTTAATGTAGCTATTCCATTGCAGCAACTCCAACAAGTAGGATTATGTTAGTATTTATAGTCTGTGGCTTGAAAATCACACGTTTGAATTAAAGATAAATAACAGGTTGAGATCCATTTGGATCAGTACCACAGCATGTGGTCATCAGATGAGATACAGACAGTAAAGGACTGGTGTTTTGTATATTACAAACGGTAATAGTTTTTTAGTTTAATATTGGTTCATCAAAATACGTAGGATTTTTGGTCTTGACAGTGGTCACTGATGAATGCCTAAAGTGATTGGGTTAATGACTTACTACCGAAGGATGCTTCACTTAATCACCATAGCAACTATAGGACAGCAAACGTGATTCATCCCTCAAATACTTGTGCCATAATTCGTCTATAGAATGAAATCCCTATTTAATTTTATTTCAAGTTGACATGAGCACTAGTTATGAGAAAGTTTTAGGTGTTCTAGCCTACCCCCACTGCATATGGTCACTTTCTGTTGATCAAATTCGTGTAGGAAGGAATGCGTTCGCCAGTTGTGGTCCTTGGTATATTAGGATTCAATTATTTAAAACTTGCTAGCATGAGTAAGAACCTTTATAATCGCCGAAATGTATTCACTGCTATTCATCTTCAAACTTTTGTACATTTTCTCTAATGCTAGTTTAATTATCCTCCCACATTTGGAACCTCCACTTGTCTATTTTAGCAACATTATATCTCCATGTACCCCTTTTTTCTGTGACTACTTGAAATGTAGTGATTCTGTGATATGTTCAACACTGTTATGTAAGTTTGTTTGTATGTTATGTGATAACTATTTTTTTCAATATTTTAACAAATGCATATTTTTTAAAAATAAACGGTGTTGATTTAAAATTGATAGAGTGTAAAATATTCTCGAAGTAACAGACTGATATTGAGGAAATAGGTGGCGTTTGCGACAGAACTCAAGTCAGAAGTTTTCAGATCACTACTCCAGTAGAGTTCCGGTACCCATGGTTGTCGATTCACTACTATAAATAAGATATGGCTAGCTGACCTGAATCCTGCAGTGACTCAAGTTTTAATTTCAGTTTTGAACATTACTCATTGTACTGACTTACAATACCATCAGCCTATTCGTTTAAAAATAAATTTCATATTATTTTCATTTTTACGTACAGACTCATCGTCCGCAACATTTAGAAATTACAGTTCAGTCTAATTACAAAAATGCTTATCTAACTGTATATAAGAAAAAGTCAAAATGGAAAAATAAATTTGGATCTGATTCGACTTGGTTAATCAAAAATTTTCTATCACGCTCTAATGAAAATAACAGCAATGACAATAATACTACATATACTACTAATGAAATTTGTTTAAGTAGCAGTGCAAATGACTGTATGAAAGAAACAACTTGCATTACTCAATCATTAAATAGTCTCTTTCATGTGGCAATATTACACCGACAGTGTAAACTGAATCAACATCACCAACAGCATGAACAACAAAGGCAACAACAGAATCCAGCTCATTTTGTCTGGCTGAAACTACGGAAGAGTAAAAACTGGTTTCAATTTCATTCTCAAAGGATAGATCGCCAGTTAAGATATTCTTTATCTGAACGTACAAATAGTGCAGAGGTAAGTAGTGATATCGGTGTGGCATTTTAATGGGGAATTATGCCTAAATTAATACCTAATACTACTTTTTATGCATTGCTTGAGAAGTAATAGTAAAATTGTTTTTGTATACATCACGAACTGAGAGAGGTTAGAATTCATCGGTCATTGAATTGCACCCCAAGTAGCTGAATGGTCAGCGAGTTCAGCCTCGAAACCTGAAGGACCTAAGTTACATCTCTGGTAGGCTCGTGGCTGCACACTGCAGAAGACGCTCAAACCAGAAAGAAAAAGCTGTCCAACGCCCCTGGTTTTCAAGTGTTTATTCTTCATCTCGTTCAAACACTTCAGTATCTTACTAGCTGGCACCTTAAATAGCAACAGAAATGAAAATTTTCTAAAGAATTTGAGTCACTTGCCTTCACTTTTTTACCTGGTATTGTGCCGACAACCCACTGCTAATAAAGTCCCATTAGCACTCTGGACGCTATGTTTTTTACTTAGCCCTGCTTTGAATAAGGCACACTTGATTCTCCAGTTTTGCAACTTTACATTGAAGCTCTTTTATAGTTCCCGTAAATCTTCCACTACCTATTAAATCCACTAAAATAATATTTTCAGTTTGTAAATATTAGATATTTTTGTATTCATTAACCGCATCACACTATATTTGAAACTTTGGTTCATATAAAAAATTTACAAGGTCGAATCAAGTCATGTCACTGAATACCTTAAGTATGAGCAGAAATTTTAATTTAGTTTCTCTTCAAAACGCAAAAATTTTCACAATAATAAGAATGATATTTTAATTTTCTTTTCAATAAATTTAACGCGATTTTAAAGGTTAGCAGTCAATTAACAAGTATAATTTAACTTGGTTTTGCGTTTTATCGACAGTGTTTATCCCAAATCTAGAGGATAATCATGTTTAACACAAGTTTCAAACCTGTATTGCTCAGTTATGAAGCAGGACTGCTAAGGTTGAAACTGATCTCTATGATTTGGCCACCAAATAGTAACCGATATTGTTGTTCATTTCTAATTGGCAGGACTTAACAGTTACACTTGGAGATATATTAGTTAGTCGCCAATGAGCGATGGGATAGTTTCCACATATTGGACCAGGTGTGGGAACGGGGGTGGTGCCATGTCACGAAATGAAGGAGATTAAGGTTAATGAGCCATTGGGTTCCGAGTGGTTCAAAGAATAAATGATAACATGGCTACCTGATATCTTGAGGGTTCTGGGTCCGAAGCCTGGTGTGGTTTTTGGTGTGCACCACTGAGAAATTCCAAAACAAGGCGAAATGTCTATCCAGTGAAAACTTAGTAGCATTTCACAACTCATTCATCCTATTTTAGGAACTGTCCGTGATCTGCTGAGTTAAGATTGCGATCACCAGGCTATGAGACTATTAGCTTTTCGTTTTCGAGTCAACTGCTGGAAATATTCATCACACAATTTAACTGTTATCAAATTGAATGCCTTGTAAGATTGTGGGTGAGGAGTTGTCCAAATTATCAAATTGCTTCATTACTTTTCTCGAATCTGTTCATCATCAGCAGTCGTCAGTATATAGTTTTTCTATCATCTAATTCAGTGTGGCCGGTATTGAAGTGTCGTTAACTGTCATTCAACAATATATCACTGATACAGACAGACTATGCTAATGTAATGAAATCAACCTTGAGTGTAATTCTGGTATACATTGTGTCACTGTATCATTTCACTCAAATGTACATCACTGTCGAGTTAACGGTCTACCCTCATGGATCAACCTCAGAAGTTTAAGCCATTTATTAGGTCCTTAACTTCGGTACTGTATGTTGTCGAGTTAAGTATTTGAAAAAAACACAGACGTCTTTGAATCCTGGGATATTTCTTGTTAATAATTAGCAGCGTTTATGAAACACACACTTAATGACTTCCATGTAAAACAACTCTAAACACAGTATGCATGTAATATTAATTTAACTAATTAGTTATAGAGTATTCAGTGTTAATTAATAAAACTTACCTTCATGCCAACAGACTGTTAGTTTCTATAGTCAGCTACTTATTAAGACGATTACAGAGGTTGCAATGAATTATCGAAAAAATACAAACCAACTGTGATAGCCATGTTAGTAATGTTTCTTATAATATTTGGCTTTTTACTTCTATATTTAGTATGCTGAGAACACTATGGAAACCGTCACCTTCTATTTCGTTTCCTTTTTTTCGTTATTTTCTTTATTTAGCAGTCTAAGTGCTCTGTGGAAAGTTTACCTTCAAATAATCCTAATAACAAAAGTGATAATCTCTTAAAGTCAGCGTCAAAATCGACGCTAAAGTCTTGTTTAAACGAATCAAAAGATGAATTCACTGACCATCAAATAAATGATACAGAAAAGCATATCAGTCTACTGAGGAGTAATAATAATAATAATAATGATCAGAATTTATTGGTTGGATTATTCATGGAATCTGGAAAAGTGAATATCTTTCAATTTGAAACAGTTAATGAAAGAGATTCATGTCTAACATCATTGGAAAGAATAATTGCTGTTAATAAGCAAACCAATGCATACCCAGATATTGGTAAGTATTTCTATGTTTATTCTGTAAAGCTGTTTATGCTTAATATTCATTCGGTCAACTACTGATCTATGCACTTTAATGTGTAATACTACATAATGTACAGAAAATAAAATCTGAGGATGGTTGAATCGTCGTACAAATGACTAATGAACCAAGTGACTAATATAGTGACTTTCCAAAAAGCCCATCAGAGTAGCGTATAACCTTTCGAAGTACAGAAAAAGCAAGTAAACAGAAAAAGAATATTGGAATCATCCTCGTCTGCGATTATAAACATGCCATTAAGACTATATATCATTCTTTTCATAATTTACCATGTACACGTAAGACAGTGTACTGCTGTTCCAACACTGACTTGAACTCACTGTTCACCATTTCAAATTTTTAATGCATTCACCAATGGAATATTCACATTTTATTCAACATGTACTTGTTCATTAATGGAATTTTTAATACTTTTGCACTGTTGATTTATACGAATTGACAGATTACTTTCAGCTAGTACTAAATCATCAATTTATTTTTCTACATGAATAATAGGAAAGATTAAAATCACTGCAAAAACGATAGTATACAGTGGAAAAATTGAATTTCATGAATAGATAGACGGCAACGTGAAACGAATTCCACTCTCATTTAATACAGCCATAGGTAGTGGAATTCAAGTATGCCTAAGAAGTCCTAAATAAGAAATTGTTTTATTTATCTTATTCCTCTGTGTTCCATTTGGAACATATGATTTCAAGCTTATGCTTTGAAGTTTCAGTACCGGTGGTGTCATTATTTTACTGGGTGGGCTTGACAATTTCATACACCCAAACTTCCCTCTTTACAGAGTTTACTACCGGCTCAGAGACGCTTGGGAGTGCGTCACCCGGAAATGGAATCCCGGACCATGTGCTTGGTTGGCGAGCGCCCTACCTACCACTGAACCACCGATGCACTCGAATAAGAAAATTACACGTTCTGAATACAAATGTACACACTAATACTACAATAAACCAAATGGGCTATAAATGGAGACGCACTGAATAAATGGAAACTAGTCAGTGTCCAGTAATTCTGAAAACAATGAAGAGAAAACAAATACAGACTACATTAGTCCGTCTTAGTCTGTGTAAAAGAAATTTTCAAATTATTATTCCAAAAGTCAGCTAGCGATCTAGCCCACACCTACTTATATACATCGCCACATGTAGTAACGAAGTCCATGTAATTCTGTCTCCTTTTCTACCTAGTTTTGTAATCCTGAGATAAAGAGACCATGTAATCATTTGAAAGTGATAATGGTTTAGTGACAAGATATCAGTATCAGTAAAGTTTCTAAGTTAACAATCTTCAGATAATGATGATGTTTATGAAATGATATTCTGTGTCGAATATTTTTAATGCATACTTTAAATATTGCGCAAATTCAGTGCACTTGAAAATAAAAAAAACAAGTATGTCTTGTGATATTATAACTCATCACTCAGGTTCCATTTGGAACATACGGCTTCAACACTGCATCTCCAATCTGTCCTATTTCCTGCTGTCCTCTTCAGTTCGGTCCATGATTGCCCATAATCTCTCATCTCCCCCTCCCCGAACGATCTCATCCATGTCACTCTCGGATACATGTCCCATTCATTGTTCCCATTCGGATCCCACTCTAGCGATGGCCTGGCGTGCGATGTCATCCAGCGGTCTCTCAGTGGCGTGTGTCAAATACATCTCCTACATATTTTTTATCCAATAGGTTGTTGGTTGGTTTATTCCCAGAGTTTCTAGTCCCTAGTTCTATCTGATCAGTCAATCGATCTTCAGTATGGAGCCACAGAAGTCGGCTGTTGATAAAAGTCTACAACTTGTTGAAAATTCTTTCCGGGGTGCGGTAGCCAGGTTTCTGACCCATGTAGAAGAATTTACTGACTTCAAATTGCTGCTGCAAATCCGAATCTTGTTCTCTATGCTGACTGAGTGAAGTAGAAGATTTCCGCACAGATTTCAGAGTGATGAGAGAATATATTGCCTTTCCGATTCTGGCTGGCTAGCTGACTAGCTTTGTAATCTTCATCCGTTCCAACTGACTGTAGTTGAAACCATGCTTCCTAGATAAGTGAAGAAAGTAACCTCTGTCAAATCTCTCCCACTGATGGTGACTGGTGCTGGTTGTTGTTGTCACTGTTGGTTGGTTGGTTATCTTCATTACATCCATCCTCTCTATGTTCATCTGGATCCTGTCTTCGCTCCCTGCCAGCCATTTCTGCCAGTTTGTTGGCTTTCGCCTGTGAGTAACCAGAGTTGTGTCACATTGAACGTAAATCATCTACAAGAGAAATCCCGATCTTCCAGTCTTCTTATCAGCCTAGCGTATTCCTGTCTTCTCACTCCCTGTGCACAGTTTCCTGCATAATCCAGTCTACTACAGTTAGGAATATCATTGGTGATAATAGGCAGGCAACCCTGTCTTTCTCGTGTGTTCACTGCGAACGCCTCACAGAGTTTTCCGTTGTGGATCACCTGACACATGTTGTTGTCATAAACCTGTGAATGAGGTTGAGAAAGATTTGGGGCATTGCACACCATGCTGCTGAAGTAGCTTCCAAATTATTTCTGGGTTGATGCTGTTGTAGGCCTTTTCAAATTCTATGAAATTGAGGTAGAGGTGTAACTGCCATCCTATGCTTTGTTCTGTGATGAGTATGCGTACAGCTGCGATTTGATCACCGCATGATTTGCCTCTCCTGAATCCAGCTTGTTCCTGTGGTGTGTAGTTCTGCATCCATAGAATCTTTTATTATATGCGGAAAAGCTGTTAATCAGTGCCGCATCCTATTTCATCAATCTGTCAATCATGGAAATATAAACCATACTGTGGTGCGTTGGTGGTTCAGTGGTAGAATTAGAACCAACCACTAAAGTCGTCCAGGTTCGATTCCAATTCAACGCACTCCTAAACCTCTCCTAGCCGGCTAGCAACCCCACTCCGTGAAATAAATAGCACCGCTCAAGTATCAACCCCTATTTTCCACTTGGAATGCATGAGAATGGAAAAAAACCCACTTTGCATCACATTTTAACATATCGACAGTGTTCTTAAGACTGATTCCTTCATGGACATTTTATAAAAATAAAATATCATTATTATCTTAATGGTTAAGTTATTAAGCCTAAATATTCACTGTACACAGTACCACTTAAAACATTCAGGACTTCATTTGAAATTTCTATATTATTTTTCAGTTCATAGAAGTCTCCGCCTTTAATGAGTATTCTTATGGTTAAAATAGTTTAACAACTATAGATTCTACAGAGTTTTTAGAGTTCTTTTTGAGTACAAGTATTTGTTGACTAATTTTAAGTGTTTCACATAATTCATAATAGTAAATATTTATATAAGCTTTTGTTTTCATTTATGTATTTTGATGAAGTTTATACCCATTTAAAGAACAATAAATTCTAAACTCAATTTTATAAGAGCAGATACCAGTCTTTAAGTGGTTTGTTTACCAGACTCTATTGAACTGTTTGAAAAATCAATGTAATTTTGTTGATATTAAGCAGTTGAGAAAAATTTAAATTTTATCCAGCTGTATTAATTATCTCTTAATGGAACTTGCGTCAACAGGATATTTGACTATCTGCAAATTTGAAGTTGTACAGTTAACAGACATGAGAAACATATAATTTTCAATGGTTAGCTTCCCTGGGATTTGATGTGTTTCAAGTTTAACAACGGATTGATGTCAGTTAGAGAACCAAAAGGTATCGGGTTTGAACTCCGATGAGTGTGTACTGCCAGTAAGTTCGAAACTGTGACGAAACAGCTGTCCTGTACTGTCTGGTTTTCAATGGTTCTCTGACTGATATCAATCTGTAGTTAAACTTGAAACAAATGTGTAACTGTATTATGACAAATGTCTTTGTATTATCACCCATATACGATAAGATTCTAAAGTTAGTAGTGTAAGGGTAAAATTAGTTTTAAGTAAGAAGTACATGTCAGTAGACGAGATTGTAAATCTACGCTAACTAAGATGACTGTAGCATGTGTCGTGCATATCTATCCACTGCCTTCCAAACAAACAATGTCTATCCAATGGTAACTGGACCCGAAGATGAAGTTCATGCATAGATTCTGTAGTTGTTGATGGAAATATTTCTAGTGATTTCTAGAGTAATTGGCTAAAATCTCCTAAATATCAGGGATCACACTAGCTGGAAATTTTAATAAAAGTGCCACAAATCGCTCATAAAGGAATTATTGGATTCATTGTTTGTCGTTATTGACATGTTGAACTTCTCATGGAATTCTTATTTCCTTTTTGTTCCTCTTTTCCATTCTTTATGCATTGAACTATGAACCTTAGTGATTATCAGTAAGGCTGAAACGAGAGAAATGAGTTGTCAGCATACATTACTGTTGTGAACATTTTCTGTCTCTCGTTTATTGATGTGATAGAAAATCTGTCAAATGATTTTATTCCTAATTAGTCTACCCGACTGAAAATCTTTACAAGACTTCAATAAAGGGAATTAGATGTGTATAAATGTGTATAATGTTTACTTATTCTATCCTTCCCTTGAGCCATCTACTCTAACTTTAATGTTTGCCACTTTAAATGTGTTTTTTCAGTCAGTCGTCTGACTGTTTGTTCTGCTTTTCTCCCTCTGTATGTATAAACTGTTCTCTTGTCTAGACAGATTAACAACGATAGAATAAATAAAGTGAAATAATGAAGTTTCAGATTAAAAATCAAAATAAAATCTCGTTCGGTTTAAACATCTAAACAAAAATTGGAATAAGTCATTTTCATTATTTTATTTTTATTTTATATGACTTTACAAGCTTTATGTACAATCAGAAACAACGCATAAACAACCAAACCATTATAATTTGAACTTGGTTTTGACATTTAAAACAAACACTTCAATAAAAATAGACTTGTAATGTTTGTATTATTCACTAAAACCATTTGAAGGCCTTCGAACAACAGACGAATAGTCGTCTCAGTAAC